CTAACCCTAACCCTATACTAACTAACACTATACTAACTAATCCTATACTAACTAACCCTATACTAACTAACCCTATACTAACACTACTATACTTATTACAAATTACAGATGTTACTCATTTTCTATTAAAGCAACAAATACATTTGTTTTGTAGAGCAGTAATTATCGACCATTTATTTTATTACACACTACAGAGTGTACATTTGAGATATATATGTATATATGTATATATATATATATATATACACCACTGTCCGTGTCCTTTGAGCTAAGTTTAGCTATGCTAAGATAATTGTGCTTAGCTCATCAACTATTCTTTTTCTTCTTCTGTGGGTTTTTAAAGAAACCGTTTACGTTTCATTACTTCTCCCTCTAAAATGTTGACTTCTAGAAAACAAACACATTCTAATTTCATGGAAGGGTTAGGGTTAGGGTTAGAGTCGTCTCTACTGCAGATCCCGGGGCCTTACATCACCCTGGTAACGTCTCACCCTTCACTCATTCCTGCAGCACAGCTACAGAAGAACAGTGGGGACACCTGTCCATGTGAGACTCCCTGCAACCTCACCCGCTACGGCAAAGAGCTCTCCATGGTCAAAATCCCCAGCAAAGGCTCGGCGCGCTATCTGTCCAGGAAGTACGACAAGTCTGAGGAGTACATCAGGTGAGGGAGCGAGAGAGAGACACACAGAGAGAGAGAGAGAGACAGAGCTTTTTCACCTGTGTGTCTTTGTTTTTCCCAGAGACAACTTCCTGGTCCTGGACGTCTTCTTTGAAGCCCTGAACTATGAAACTATAGAACAGAAGAAAGCCTATGATGTTGCAGGGTTGTTAGGTAAGCTGCTGCTAGATGTTAGCTGCTAGCTGTTAGCTGCTAGCAGCATTCACTCATCACGTTAAACAGCACAGGATTCAACTACGGTCTTTTTCTCAGGAGACATTGGTGGACAGATGGGTCTCTTCATCGGAGCCAGCATCCTGACTGTCCTGGAAATACTGGATTATATCTATGAGGTACACTTCCTGTACTCCTGTCAGCCAATCACGACAGCCCAGCCCAGACCTTTAGCAACTGTGGGCTAATGGATAATAATGAACAGCTATTGTTCTACAGCGTGTCATGACCAAACTCATCAGTGCTGCATCGTTTATTTTCTTTTTCATCGATATTGATTTTGTTTTGTTTTTTCAAATGTTAACTACCAACCGTGTCACTGTTTGTCAGGTTTCCTCCCAGACATAATGATGAGTGTCAGTGTTATCAAGTCTGTGAGTCCGAGGACTGAATCTCTGGTCTCCCCCTTCTCCCCCCTCTCCCACCCTCCTCCGTCGTACCGTGGGTAAAACAGGTGATTAAGAAACGGCTCCAGCGTTTGCTGCGGCCGCAGAAAGAAGAGAAGAAAACGAAGCAGCAGATCAGCACTGTGTCAACAGTCGGTCTGGAGGAAATGAAAACAAAGGTACAGAGCACACACACACACACACACACCACATCCAATTACACTTGACGTTGTTTTCATGTTAAACAGTGTTGGTGTTTCCCTGCAGTCATTTACAGCCAACAATGAAATATTTCTTCGCTGCTGAAACGATTCTTCTTCCCTGGAGACGGGACATTTTTTGTCAGTATTTAATCACAGACTGTTGTTTTTTTTTCCTTTTTGTTTTGACTTCTTTTCTTAAATGAAAACATTTTTAATCATGGTCCGTTGAAGGAGAACTCATGTCGAGATCATAAACTTTCACTGACTAGATGAGACTTTTCTGTAGTTTTCTACTGTGACCTGAAGTGAAGTATATTTATACACAAACATACGCACAGTGAAGGAAAAGACAACAGCCTCCTTTTATGTTACACATTTACAAAAGGGAGGTTTGCGGGCCAGATGTGGACCACACCCCTTGATTTGAGGGCCACATATCTAGATCTATACCTTTTGTTCTGCAGTTCTGCAGTGAAGTTTTTTACCAGCTGAAGTATTGGCTGTCGCAGTACTTTTCATATACTTTTATCCACTTTGAACAGGAACCTCATGACACAACACGGAATCACCCAGAGGGGGCGTATGCCAACACAGTTCTCCCGAACCACCACCACCGCCCGCACCAACACCACAGCGGGCCTCACGGTGTGTTTGAGGACTTTGCCTGCTAAAACCAACCATGGTTTCTAAAGTCGTGGTGACAACAAATGATGGGAGTGGTCTGTGAGGTCAGTCACAGACTCTTCTGGCATTTCTGTCATCAGTGAAGAGCTACAGCCAAAGTCAGACTCCAAAGCTGTGCTGCTATCAAACCACTGGTGCGTGGGCACAGAGAGGACACGGCCTTTTTTTTCTCCCTCCCTCAGACTCCATCTCTGGATGACGAGTTTGATCATTGGTGAATCTGGGACCAGGTTTTGGTTCTAACTCAGGAGTCGAGGAGTGGTCTGCATGTCACCGTGACTCCGTTTATACACAGAAAAAAGAAAAAAAAAGATTGATTTATTTATTGATTCAGCTCATGTCTCGAATTTTTTTTTGTTTGGGATATAAACACACACACACACACACACACACACACAGTGTAACATACTCGTCCATTCCACCATGGTAAATGAAGTACTTATTTAAAGAGATACTATTATCTATGTTCTATATTGTGTACAAGACGAGAATACTTGTTACGGCCATCCAAAGTACAGGAGGAAGTATTTAGGCTGACCTCGTGTGCTAGTGCGAGGAACATCTGTCCACATGGTACAAACTGTCTGGTTGTGGTTGAGGTGTTAGAGTAGTACTGTACTGTACTTGTACATAAAGTCCAACTTTACTCCAGAGAGTTCTTAAGATTGTTGTCGTTGTTTATATTCACTTCATATATAACTTTATATATTAAAAAGAAGTATTTTATATGACAAGACAGAATACCAACTGTAGCAGTGACACCTGCTGGTACGACAGAGAACAACAGGTTCACAGTAGGCTGTACCAGGGTAGTCGGAAAGTTCCAAGACAATGTATGTATGAAAATAAGTCTTGAAGTTATTTCTCTACATTTAGGTCCAAACACTTCTGTTATATCAGATATATACAGTATATATGTATCAACCACGGTTGCCAGGTCTGCTTATTACATGCTACTTTGGCCTTGGTTGTGTTAAGAAAATGTAGTTGCCTATTGATTTCCTTCTGTCTGTCACTGCAGCATCCTTAGACAACAGAAGAATGACAAGGGCATGTATGACCCCACCCCCACACTGCCTCTGATTGGCTGCTGCTGGTTGGAACTGTCCTGGTATGAAATCGAGTTCCATTCAAATGTTCTTTTACTTTTGGGAGTGAACAAATCTAAAAAAAAAAAAATCACTTCAGTGGAAATGAAGTTAATTAAAAAGTGTTTTTCAGTCTGATCAAATAACATGTCACACAACAACAGACCTGGTCAACAGTGTCTTCACTTCACTGTGGTGTGGAGTATTATAGTTTGTAGAATGGATGATGGATCCATATATATTTATATATACACACACAGTGTGTATATATAAATATATACACACTGTGTATATATAAATATACAGTATATACTTTTTTTGATGTGTTTGAAGTCATTTTTACCCAGCATCCACTCTTCACCTCAGTTAGCGTTAGAACTTTACGCTGACTCAAGCAATAAGATTTTCTCTTTTTTGCCAAGTCATCTCTTTCAGCTGTGGAACCAGAACCACTGTAGAGGTGTAGCAGCTATTTACAGAGCAGACCTGGCATCTGTGTGTGTGTGTGTGTGTACTTGAACATTTTTCACACATGACTGAGCACATTACATTGACTCTAAATAGTTAGAAAAAGAAGCTTGGAGAGTTTTATTGCAGCCGTGAGGTTTCTATCAAATCAATCAAGTTCCACAACTGACCAGAGGTTCTGGAACAGTGTTCTGGAACAGTGTTCTGGAACAGTCCTAGCTGTTTACAATAACCTGGAATTTCCAGAGCACAAGTTTCACCAGGTGCATTCATCGAGCCACGTCAGTGTTGATCAGATGGAAGTTCCGTCTCTCGTCCTCCGACATCAGAAATCATTTATCATAATGTTCGTTCAATCTGTTTTTACTTACGGTTTTTAGGTTAATTTCACAAAACAAAACATACAAATATATTAAAAGTAAGAGGTAGCTGCACTGCAATGATTCAGTTGGAAAACAGTCACAGTAGGGGGCAGTAATGCAACTTGAAGGACATAAAACAGGCACTTAAAGAAGAAGAAGCAAGGTGTGGGAGATTAGCTAATTTGTTAGGATTAACCTAGCCTGAAATCTTAATAAAATATTCTGTGCTGTATGGGAGGCACCACAACCAGCAGCTCTGATTGGCTGCTCAGCCGTGATTGTCTTGAACTTGAACCGGCGTTGATTTGTTACGGTGTCAAATGTTTGGATTCTTCTTTATTTTATTCATAGTATTTATTTTATAACTGTATCATTTTAAATATTTATCTTTACCTTTATACAATTCCAACGTGTTGTAGTGAAGGGATTTGAACCCACACCTGCTGTTCCAGTCACACAACAAGAAAACTCAGATGTACTACAGTATAAGTACTATACTGTAGTACTAAAAACACCTGTGGACCAGACTGGCCAATATTGTTGTACCAGTACTCATTGGCATGGGCATTACCAAGTTATCCACAGCGCCCCCTGCAGGGTAGGGAGAGTATTTCTCTTTGTATACAGCAAGCAAGAATTTTTTTCATACTTTTGCTTAAAAACTTTTTAAAAAATTGTTTTCTTTCTCCATAGTTATTCACATCATTAGTTTTCATGGCTGCAACAAATATTCATCAATTCCTCCGTCTTCTACGGCTTCCGTTCATTTTCAGGGTCAGAGGTCAGTGGACACAAGTCAGTGGACAGAGGTCAGTGGACAGAGGACAGTGGACACCTCCAGCAGGTTAGCAGTTCAAAACAGGAAGTAAACACTCACTGACTCAACACCTGTCTGTTCAACAACTTTACACTGAAAAAGGCACAGCCATAAAAACAAACAAACATCCGGGTCATGGACCACAGTTTGGACCACCTGGTTCGATCTGTTTGGCTAGTTTTGATGGTAGACCAAAAAAGAGTACACAAAGAGTTGGTAATCAGTAATAATTGATTACTGATTTTTTACACTTACACGACCAAAGCAGAGCATTTACCAACACAGTAACAGTAACATGTAACATGTCAATGTCATGTTGTTTATTTCACACAGTGAGAACAGACTTTTCACCTCAGTGTATTAAGATTTCTGTTGTTTTGCTTTTTTATATCTGATTATGTAAATGAACTGCTGACAACAGATTCACACGTTTGTCACAGGAAAGTGTTTGGGTCAAAAAAACATATTTCACATGTTGCTCTGAGTGTAGGTAAAATAAACAGACTTTTTTTCATTCAAAATATAAAACTGGTGGGGTTCAGTTCCTCCAACAAGGTTAAGAACCACTGCTGTAGATCCAGCAGCCGTTTTCCACCGTCCACCCTTTGTCAAATCCCTTCTTTTTATCAGCCAATCATGAGCTTTACAGGCTGTTTAATATTCATAATCATGTGTCACTTTGACATTTTCAAAAGGTTCCCAATCACAGTCTCTGATGGCATCCTGGACGGGCTACGCATAACAATCTTCTCCTCTGTCATCAATAATTGTAGCCATCCTCAGACAAGTCACAAGGGGGGGCTGCTGTGTCCAGATGAATTATAATCCTAGGCTTTTGTTAGACTTTAGTCTGGAGCAGGGTCAGAAATGGGCAGAGGTTAAATGGCCATGAAATATCTGAAATAGTCGGTGAAATTGACATGAGGGCGGCGTTCGATGCCCTCGTAAAATTTCAAACATAAAATGGTTAATGTGGAAAATGTACGTCCACTGTCAAACCGTGCTCCGTTTAATTCCATGTCCAAATCTCAGGAGTCGGTGGAGCAGTGTGTGTGTGAGGTCACAGGACAGAGTGGTGGGCCGCACCTCCGTCTCCGCACTATCGCCCTCTTCTGCACAGTTTTAAGGCTGCGTTTGTTTTTTTATAGCTCTGTGACATTCAGTCTGTGCGGCCTCACCACATTAACCATAAACTTCAGTTTAATGTAACTCCTCAATGATGGGATGTTTGGAATGTTTTCTCTGAGTGACCCAGTGTCACCTGGGAGGAAATAAAATAACATTTTAAAAAAGACAGCGATGCACCGTTGTTCAGAGACAATGAAAACCTACACTCTGTACAAATGTGTGACTTGTGATTATTTCTTCTGTTCAGATGCATTTTATAAATGTTAAATATACTAAATATGAACACCATTAAAGTTTAGATATAAACACAGCGTTTTATCCAGAGTTCAGTTTATTCATTAGCCAATTAAAGTCAAAATGTGTTGTTGTTTTTTTTTTTTTTTTCTGAAAGGACTGAGTTTATCAGAGAATTGCACCCGCACCTCAGGGGGGTGCAGTAAAACACAATGAGGGGCAGCTTATTTAAAAAGATGTCATTATCTAGTTAGGTCAGTGATTTATACACCTGTCTGTATTGCCCTGTGCTGTTGTTCCAGTTGTTTAAATACCCTGGGGCTGAACCAGTTTGAAGAGGACTTGGAACGACTTTGTCCCCGTGTGGGAGGAGAAAGTCCTGGGATTGGACGTAAAACAAAGTACAAAATAATGACTTACAATTAAGTCCCAGCTGCTCTGTAGTTGTGTGGTTTTACAGCAGGCCTTCAGGCCCTGAAATAACCAACACTGTAATTAAGGCTTCAACATTTTCCCTGTTTTTACCCAGACGTCAGGAATACCTCAGCTGTGTCAAGAGAAGGAATGTTAATCACATGCTGAGAACGCGAGCGCCGTATCATTTGTTATCAAAATGTGATTTCTACGTCTCCATGACGCCGCTCTGCAGAACTGAAGGAGCCGTGGTGCAAACGTGCTCTTCTGCTGACACCTAAAGGACAAAGTGGATTCTGTGAGTAAATCCAGACTTTTTCCATTGAAACACTCTTTATTTAAAATGAAAATGTCATTCACAGTT